TCAGGGGGGTTTCGTTATCTGCAACACGCCCCCTCAGCCAGCACTTTCTCATTCGAGATGGCTGGCTGAATTCACAAGTTCAAACCCGGGAACCTATACTTCACAGTCGGGGTCCAATGGTCTGCAAAGCACTGATTACATGCGGCTTTGCCTGCCTCAATGGCCTCCTCCGCTGTGGTCCGCTTCAAATTCTTGGCATGCCGTAAGTTTCCACAGCTGCGGCGGTGGTAGGCATACCCAAACTCAGTCACCCAACACTCAGCTTCAAGCTCAGCCTTGCTGAGGCACTGCCTGGCACACTCTAAGAAGCCGCGTCTCTGTACAGACAGCGCAACCCTAGCCTCAGTTCGCCCTTGGGAGAAACAGGTAGTCGAGGAAGAAGAACTGGCCGCCGCTGCCGCCGAACCACTTGTCGTAGCCGGCTCAAGCCCCGGCTTCGGCTCAAACAAGTCCTCGTAGGTGAGGGTCTCGTGCAGTCGGCGCTTAGCTTCCTCCAGGGTCTCAGGCTTGAGGGTAGGCTCCCCAAGAGTGTTGGCTCCTTCGTGCTCAGGCTGCTTGTTGGGCTTCGTTCCCTTGGGTTTGCGGTCCGTGGTCGGCTCGGTCTCGGTCTCCTTGTCGGCGCGCTTGTTCTCCGTCTGGGTGGCGGCGTCCGAGCCGGCTGGGCCTCGGCTCGAAACGCTGAAGCTTAGCGTCCACCGACTGGTCACCAGCACGTAGGTGAGGAGGGCCGCAAGGAAGAATACCGGGTTGTTGTAGAACACCTCCAGGAAGTAAAAGAGCACCGCCTCCAAGTAAATCCCGGCTTGGCCGCTGTCTGGGCCAGTACAGCCCTGCATGGTCATCACCATCAAGGCCTGCACCATTCTCACCATAAGGTCGCCGCCAGAACGTCCTAAAACATCTCGGCCAAGGGCTTCAGCATGCTCCTCCTGGCCAATATGGTTGCCATGGTCGTCCGCCATGCCGGCCAGGAAGCACAACATCTTCAACCTCCGCTGCTGCAGGCTTTTCGTGCCCATGTCGCTTGGGTTGAACTGGGTGGGCACCGCCGCCACTCGTAGCGTCTTGGCTGCCACCCACTGCTGTATCCAGAGGCAGCTTGTTTGCAAATGCCTCACCCGGCCGACTCCAAGTCGGCTTGCGATTGCTCTTGCCACCGACGAGTCACTCCTCATCACCAGCTTGGCTTCTTCTCGTGTGGTCCACACCCAGGCCTTGTGCACCAAAATCGCCTCACTTGTGGCCTGGGTCAAGGCGACAAGTTCCGCCTCGCCCGAGCTTAAGGTAACCACCTTCTGGCCCCGCACAAAGCTATACATGAGAGCCTGGTCGATGTAGATCTGGCCGCTGCTCAAGCTCTTGCGGGTGGCGCGGTCGTTGGCAAAGTTGGAGTCGGAATAGCCTTCCACCAGGTGCTCGGTGATGGGCTCGTCGGGGGTCAGCTTGCCACGCGCGAAGTTCATCACAGACTTGCAGGGGGCCAGGCACAAGTTCACACCATAGCCCTGGGTCCCCCAAAGGTACCCAACCAGGTGCTTGATCAGCTTCATCGCCTTGGCTGTTGGTTTGGCCGCCCGGGAAGAAAGGTTCTGGATCACCGCTTGGGCGTCCGGCCGCTCGTTGCTCATATAGAGCACCTTTCCCGACATAGTCCTGTATGCGGTGGCCTCGCGCGGGTTCAGCTCCTCAGTGGCGTCGGTGGCGAACATATCGTCTTGGCCGCTCGGGCCCGGGGTTGCCTTCACCTTGGGTCGGCCGGCCAGCTCGAAGAGGTCGTTGTACAGCCGCACCGGGGCGCGAACAGTAATGGAACTGTCGCTCTGGATCTGGTACCGTCGCTTAAGGAACTCGAACTCGTCCCCAGGCTGCTGGTAGGGGCCGGCAATCTTCACGGTGTACCTGTTGGTGAGGTCCTTCTCCACCCGGCCATGGGGCTCAGCGTCCCCGGTGGCCATAATATCATCCACGTGCACCTGGGCCACGTAGCGCTCGCCATTGCCACTGGCTCTGTAGAGGGTCGGCACCTCTGGCATGGATTCCAGGCTGGCGTTGTTGAGGTCGCCGGCCAGCTGGTGATACCACTCTTGGGCGCCTCGCCGTTGTCCCGGCAGCACTCGCCCAAGCTTCCAGGTCTTGCTCGCACCGAACTTGCTCACGTAGGACCGCGGGGCCGTCACAACCACGGTCCTCCGGCTGGGGAACACAAAGGTAGGCGTCCTTGACGTCCATGATGTAGATTGGGGTGCCCCACTTCTGGGCCAGAAGTGGCACCAAACGCGCCAAGGTACTCACACTCGCTGGGCTGAAGGTGTCCTCCTCGAGCATATCCGAGGCCCAGCGGTACTGCCTCGCCACCAGCCTGGCCCTTCTGAACCACCCGTCGGGTCCCTTCTTCCACATCTTCACAAAGACCGTGCTGAGGTGCTCGGCCTGCTCCTGGGGGTTCGGCTCCATAAGCACGTTCATGCTCTCCAGGCGGGTGAGCTCCTCAATCTCCGCTTGGTCGTCCAGCTTGGCAAGGTCCTCGGGGCTGAGGTCGGGCGGCTGCTCGCCTTCAAAGTCCTCGGCCTCACCACCATAGGCGGTGTTCTCCCAGGCCTCGTGCCAGGCAGCGTCCACGGTCTCCACCATACGAACCGCGAACTCCTCATCAGCATCCATGGCCTCGTCGGGGCCCGGTTGGTGCACCACCTCGGCGGGTTCGGTTGTGGCAGCCTCGCCGCCTCCTCCGCTCATCTCCTCGGCCTTGCGCTTGGTCGCTGGGCTGTCTCCGGGCCCTTGTCCACTGCTACGGGCTCGGTCGGGGCGCTCAGTCGGAGACACAGACCGCGGCGAAAATGACGGTGAGAACGATCGGCTCCTCGATGGGCTTCTGGCTCTCGACGGGCTTGGTCTTGCACTCCGCGGCGGGCTTCTCAAAGGCGCCACGTCCTTCGGGTCGGCTGGGCGCAGCTCCTCTGAACTGTCGGTGTCGGCCTCCTTGCCTTTGGCTGCTGCCTCGACTGCTTGGGCCTCGTTGTCCTCCTCTGACAGAAGAGGGTGCCCTGGAGGAGCGCCAAGAGGTAGCTGAACTCCTGCTTCAAGTGTTGGGGCTGCTTCGGCTCGGCGCGGCTCCTTCTTGCGCCGTCGGGGTTGCTCCACATGGTCTCGGTTCCAAGGCCAACCAGTGATGCACATGTCCTCCACCTGGTTCGCTGTCAGCTGCTGCTCCTCGGTGGCCCGGCGGACGCTCTCGCTCTCCTTATGTGTCCGCAAGACCTGTCCAAAAACAGTTTCCCCAAAAACGCAAAGGGCCTTGGTGAACTTCCGGCCGCCATACGCCAACTCGTAGGGGGTCTGCAGGACTCCAGGCAGCACGTGGAACCGGTTGTAAAGGAAAGCCCCGTGGACCTGGGCCCAAAGCTTCAAAGGCATGTCCGCCGGGAAAGTCCCGGCCTTGAGCTCCAGGGCATGGAAAAGGCACGTCCCCAAACGCCTCACGGTTTGCACTGCACGCTCTGCCCCTCCATTGCTCTGGTGGGCCGCCACGGGCGTAGTTCGCTGCAAGGTTTTCTTTCCAAGCTTGCTCCTGGCTGCGGCCACAGCTCGGGCGACAGCCTTGATGGCAGGCTCCCCATCGGACTGTAGAATCACAGCCTCGTCGCCATGGAGGGAAATAGTGAAGCGGGTGACCTCCTCAGCCGCCCTGTGCAAAATAACTGCTCCTTTGTTGGGGCCCGGCACGGAAAGCACCATCTTGGTCTCGAGGTCCACCCCAATCAAGCAGCACGTGTCCTGCTCACCTTGTCCGGCTGGCCTGGCGTGGTCGTCGAGGGAGGTAAAATAGAAGTCGATTTGCACCACCGGCACCTTGGTCTCGCGGTTGGCCCCTGTGTGGTGTGCGTCGGCTCGGCTTCTGGTAGCCACGCAGCTTTCGCACCATCGCTGAAAAGGCACGTGTGTCAAATTGTGGGCTGCCACCTCCTCTGCACTCGGTGGGCCTTCTGGCTGTGAGCGTGGCACTGGGTCCCTTCTGTCCAGACCTTGGAGCTGCTCTGCGGCATTGTTCGCGGCATACGCCTCGAGCTCCTCTTGCTCCAGACCCTGCGGCAGCATAGCTGGCTCATCGCCATCGGGTTCGGGACCTTGGTGTTCTGCGGGTTCTCGTCCTTGGTGTTCTGCGGGTTCTCGTCCTTGGTGTTCTGCGGGTTCTCGTCCTTGGTGTTCTGCGGGTTCTCGTCCTCGGTGTTCTGTGGGTTCTCGTCCTCGGTGTTCTGTGGGTTCTCGTCCTCTGGTGTCCTGGGCGTTCTCGTCCCATGGCGTCATTGGTGGCGCCACGTCCTCTGGTGTGCTGGGTGCCGCCACGTCTTCCATGGGCTGCGGGTAGAGCCTCAGTAGCTCCTCGCTTGGCTTTGGTGGCACCCCGCCCTCCGGGAAGAAGTCCACAGAAAACGGCGACGACGAAATCATTGTAATCCGGGGCTTCGGGTGGCTGCTGGCTAAGGTAAACGGATTGGGCTCGTTGACATAGTCCGCGCT